CGCACTTGGTCCAAAGTCCATTGTATGCATGATTATTTCCAAAGTCGACCATGGACGTGGTACATTCCCATACGTTTCACCGGCATTGTCAGTGTTTAATTCCATTCTTAGCACCACACTAAAACTCGTCAAATAGACAAGTGAACCCGATCCTTTGACCAATTGTCTGCTAAACAATCGTAGTATCTCTCTTTCATCCTAGAGCTACTCACCTATTCTATATCCAGGGAGATAGCAAATGGATCCTATAGGGCAAGAGAGAGACTGATCAGACATAGAGAAGGAGTAAGGCGCAACAATGTGAAAGACTGATCAATATTCCCAGCACAAGAGTGAAGGGGTTAGAAAGCCAGCATGGAGGGTAGAGAGTTCCCATTAAATCAGCTCAAAATTGCAAACCATACCACATTTAAATAAGCAAGTAAAATTATGTTAATGAACGCGTGATGCGAGGATATAAGATTGGTGATTAGCTTCGGGGGAAGGAGAGATACCACTATTGTTTAGCAAAAAATTGGTCAAAGGTTCGGTTTCAATTTTACAAGTTGTAGTCTGGCGTTAAGAATGGCAGGTCTCACTTCCGATGCCTTCGAAAGGTGTGCGAATGTACCACGTCTACGATTCGACCCTAGAAATAATCATGCTTACAATGGACTCCGGACTAGATGAGTTTCTATAAGTCGTATTACCAATATGACCAAATTTAGAAAACGTGGGTTTTTAAAATTTGCTTAATTTTATGCTATTACCACATGTTTGACAAATTTTGATTTATTATCTTAACTGTGCTTTGATACCTCAAAGCGTACTCGTATTTATAGTATGTATTCACCCTTCTTTTGTCTCTTAAGCCAATTACTTTTATAGCTGATCAGCTATCCATTTACTTGAACAGTCCTATTAAATCGCATTATAATAATCAGTCTTTGTGATACATCTAATATAACGGATTTAATGGTAGTCTTAAAACCCTGCTCTTAAACGGAAATTGATAGTCAGTCTGTTCTTAGCTTGCATCATTCGTTTCTATTTAGGATTTTAGTCGTATTATTTTTTCATCAATTTTCCAAGCTTCTGCTTAGCTGAAAGTTTCTGCTTTTGGAAACTTATTAATGTATCCTATATTGTTTCATACTATATTCCCTTCTTACATGATTTCATTTGAGATATATTTTTTGCATTGTATCTCATTTTTATTTTAGCTTAAGGAATTGCGTGAAAAACTTGCAGAAACCGAGAAAGAAGGTGGTCGCCGCAACAAGACTCAGTTGAGCACTTTGGAGGCCAGAATATTGGCGATTGACGAGCAGTTAGAGTTGGAGAAACAAGAAAAGAATACTGCTCTGAAGAACAGCCGAAGGCTTGAAAAGAAGTTAAAAGAACTTATGCTTCAGGTTTGTTCTCACATTGCTTATCTAACTACATAATCAATTTGTCTGCATCCATAATTATATTCAACAAAAATTAATTTTTATAGATTATTTTTATCGCTTTCTTAGTGATCAAGTCAGTTCAAATTTTATAAACAACAATTCAGCTATTAGGATTGCATTAAAAGTTGTTTGAACTTGTTTTCGCAACCTGGTTATATTGGTAGGAAGAATGAGAGAAACACACCTAGTTCGGAGTCCATTGTATGCATTATAATTTTGAAAGTACGTGGTACATTCCCAGACGCTTCGACGGCATCGTCAGTGAGTCCTGCCATTCTTAGCACCATAAAACAACTTGTCAAGTGAAGCCGATCCTCTGAACAAATGTTTGCTAAACAATAGTGGTATCTCTCCTTCAATACAGGGCTATTCATCTTTCCTATATCCTCTTACTACGCCTTCACTGTCACAATTTTTTTCTTGCTTATATAAATGTAGTGTGGTGTGTCCTTTTGAGCGGCTTTCATTAGAACTCTTCAAACTCCACATTAGCGTTCTCACTTTCCTTCACCCTTATGCTGGGAATGTTGAATAGAGTCTTCCTTATCGTTACGCAGTCCTCCTTCCCCAGGTCTTATCAGAGTCTGGCTCTTGCCCCATAGGATGCGTCTGCCATCTCCCTGATTCAAGTATTTCACTCGAACTCTGCCACCCCATCTGTGCTACTCGAGGCTTTATTATCCCTAACTGCGTTTGGGTCACTAATTCGAGGCGAAGGCTATGAGTAAGTATCATGGTGAAGCCTTTGCTACATGGACCACATTCCTGGTAAAAACTACTATTACTCAACTAGTTCCAGTCTCTGCCGCGTCTATCCTGTTTTTATCCTTAGGACCAAGTCCATGGCTTGCTATGCTCTGGTCTTTTGTGTGCTAACACACAAATCTTGTGGTACTGCTTGCTTTGATTAGGTTCAATGTTGAACCACAACTTCATCTCGATTTTCATACCTAAAAGTTTATTAATAAGACCAACGCCTAATTATTCCATGTAATATTTCCGATTAAACACGTTTGCATCTCTAGAGCTAGTGTTAGTTTAGATAATTTGCTGCGCATAATTTGTTGTGGCACATAAACACTTATATGCTTCGTGGTTGAAATATAACTTGAAATAGCTAAGTCATTCTTACCCCATCATAGAGCACTTTACCTCGAAATGGAAGTGAGCTCAACTATTATAATTCACTTATGAGAGAGAAAATCTGAAGAGAACATTGTAATCATGAATATGCATTTTATGTTTA